ACAGCACAGCCAACAAACTATCAATATAATTCATTTTCATTTATAAATTAATTTACATAAAACTGAAAATCAGTATTAAATTCCTTGTAATAATTTCAAAAGTATTACACAAAGTAAATTGAATTTCAATCCATATTGCCAATAATTTGTTTTACTCAACATTCTTTTTAAACATCTGTTCTTCCAATAGAATATATTCTAGTAACAACTAATCCAGAGCAGTTGCAGCCGTAAGATAGTAGTTTTATTATGAGTACCAATTTAACATTATAAAAATCAATTACAATAAACTTCAATAGATTAAGACACATTTGAAAAAATGAACGGTGTTCGATTGTTCATTCGAAGGATATGAAGATAGATAAAACGAACTTGTTCACAAACATAAATCACAAAATACTGATTTAAATATATTACCCTCCGAAACGTTCATTGTCATTAAAAATCTTGAGGTAGAAGTTTGGCACTTTTTCATTTCTAAATAATATAAAAACTCAATTACAAAAACTACAATGAAAGGAAATATTAAATAATATTTAAATAATTATTTAATAATCTGGTAATTCTGTAGACTGAAAAGCAAGGCAACACGAGTAATTTTTCAAACATCACCACAAGTCATAAAAAACTGAACTATGTACCATCGAGGAAACACAAATGACTCAGAAAAGAAAAATACAAAATATATGTATATATATTTTTGCCTCATAGAGCAATAAACTAGTAAAAAAATCACATGAGTGTACACGATATCTTTCACAAAAAGGAAATATAAAAAAATGTGAACCTGCAGACCTATATCACTTTCAGAGGAAAAGTACCTACAAACTGTTTCTGCAAGATAAGAAAGAGCAATCGGTAATTAGAACACGGTTTGAAGTTTCCAGTGAGAAATAATCTACAAGACACTTCAGAACTGTGACAGTTCCCGTCCCTTTACTGGAGCCCATTCTGCAAGAGTAAGTTGCTTAATCAATTGAACCTATTGTACCGTCGAAACCATCCTATCCTTCGCGGTTAGTAGACCCGTTCGAACTATCCTACCCAAGTAGTTTCCCTGTACCTGAAACCCTTGCCATTCTCGACCCCACCCTTTCCCTTTTGACTTACCCCGTTCCCATTCCCTATCCCACCCTTGCGCTTTTGACTTACCCCGTTGCCTTACTCGACCCCACCCTTTCCCTTTGGACTTACCCCGTTCCCATTCCCTATCCCACCCTTGCGCTTTTGACTTACCCCGTTCCCTTACACGACCCCACCCTTGCCCTTTTGACTTTCCACGTTCCCATCCCCTACCCCAACCTTGCCCTTTTCACGTTACCCCGTTCCCATCCCCTACCCCTTTCCCTCCGAACGCCCCCCATTCTCTCACAACGAAAGATTTGCGGTGGCTGGCGGGGCCTGAGCGGTGCGGTTACCACCTTCTGGGGTGCTCAATGTTTGAACCGCCCCCGAAGAGAAGCGGCCGGGCCCCGGGGGCGGGCACGTAAAGGGCACGACAGCGCCCGCCCTCCGCGTCGCCCCCGCCCGCCGCCCCGCCCCCCGCTCCCGCTCCCGGCCACCCCTTGCCCGCCCCTTTTGAGCTTGCGCTCGCGCCCGCTTAGTGCTCCAGGTTTCTTTCCTCCTTCAGCCCCTCCGCCTCCAGACTGCGGCGCGGTGCAGCGCCGACTTGAACTCCGCACCTGCGCCTACGAACATTTCGCCTTGCCGCCGCCAGCACCTGCGCAACGCGCCGGCGCCGCGCCAAACGGTCTGTTCAGTGGTCGCCCAATTGCGTGCTTCCAGGAAACGACAACTGCGTGGACATATATCAAAGTATTTGCTGTGGTATAATAGTGTGACTTTGCGGTGACTGGATCCACATCCTCCTTAAATTTTGCTGTGCCAACCGAAATCCATGGAGAAAGAAATGGATGGAAATGGGAAATTACTACTCCTAACAGGAACGTAAACCCTCGCCCAAAAGAATTTTAGGTGTATAAAGTCTAAATTTTATGAAAGAATTAGGAACACTTTTTAGGAAAGATGTCGGACCATTTAGGGAAATATAAATTAGGGAGTGCTGGAAAACGAGCACCGTAGCTTGAGCGGAGGCTTAGACTGGAGAAGATAAAAAAAGTCATATAAGCTACAATGAGTAGTTTAATCCCAGTAATTTTATGTTAAGTAATAAACAGTTAAGAAATAAGCTCATAAGTCGTAAGTCATTGTAAACAGACAGGTCAAGTATATAAATATAAATAAAACTGCGCAATAGTAACCAAGCACATCAGGGGATCCGAAAATATAAAGGGCGAAGCGTTGGGGCGGAACGCATCTTCCTGTGGGCGCTGATTTGAAATTTCAAGGGCTGAGGAAGGCAGCACTGGGAAGAGAACGGCGGGAACGCCCCGCGCACAGGAATATAAATAGTTTGAAATAAAACGTCGGATAGATTAGATGTACTCGGGCTTTCTGACGACAGGTTTTTCCCCCTTCAGGGTTTTTTTCCTGAGCCGTGACCTTATGGTCCTCTTTTTCCGCCCGGCTTTGAATGTGGATGGAGAGACCAATTTGGGGTGAATTAACCCCAGAATTCGAAAGATAGAACGCGAAAGGATGTAAGGTTACTGTAAATGGCTTTAAAGGCCTGGCCCTAGCCAGACAGGAATCAGTAAGAGCCTAATTATCTTTGTAAATAACTTACCTATTAAATAATAATAATAATAATAATAATAATAATAATATAATAATATTAATAAATAATAATAAATAATATATAATAATAATAAATAATAATAATAATAATAATAATAATAATAATTAATAATAATAGTATTTACCTGGGCTGTCCGGGTGCAGGCTTACGCTCTGAGGAAAGTTGCAGGATGGCGACCGAAACGTCGGCACCTTCGCCATGGACGCGATGTCACCCGGACAGCCTAGTAAATACGGACTCCGGTCGCGGAAGCCTACGCTCTAACTGCATGACTAGTCGCAAAACGTCCGGAAAGGCAGTGACGCGACGCAGGGTCGTGTCGTGACGAAGCGGGAGGCCTCATTCACAATGCAAACGTGAAAGAAACGTAGCTGCAAAACCTAGAAATGAGTTATTAAACGGCACCGTTCATAACGCCTTGACGTAACCGTAGACGTAAATCCGTTAATTAAGAGTTTACAAGTGTGAAGCTTTTACGTTAAGTTAACGTCGGAATTCTACCGAAGACCAACCATGAAAGCAACATGAAAGCAGCATGAAAGCAACAAATGAAGCATGCATCATGAAAGCAGCATGAAAGCAACAAATGAACGGTAAAATCCGCCAGGAGGCAATCAAAGGTCGATTTCAGATTGTGTTCAGGTAGTTGATGGTTATAACATTTCATTATTGTAATGAAGACAACTAGTTTGCGAATGGTTTTGATGCGTGTAGTTAATTCAAAGAAAGAATTTAGACCATTTTCCTTGTGACTTTAACTTGATATGACGTATAAAATAATTATGTTCGATGAACTACTCGTGAATTTGACACAAGAGAATTCGTTATCAGAATTATTTATTTATTTACGTCAAAAACAGTTTAAAACTGTGTGACGTGCTATGGAGAGAAGTAAATTGAAGTTACATTTAGATCTGTCCACCATGCTAGAAACGAGTCGAATCAATTCAATATGTTGGATTCTGATTGGTTCAGGCGAAACATACGTTCCAGCTGACGTTCGTACTTGTGAATGCTTGTTTCTACGTGTAAATTTTACTGCTCAATTTGCAGCATTCCGTTACGTTTAAGTTTGCATTGTGCATGAGGCCTCACGCCGAATTCCTCACGGTAGAGGGAGTCACAGCGGCGATCACCGCAAGACGGGTCGCAGTTCACTCCAGCGCTGACGAAGATGTCGAGTATTTCCGCGACGTTAGTGGATTTGAGTTCCGAATCGGATTCCGAAAACGAGTTCAAGTTAGAAATGTTATGTTACACCTCTCTTTTTTGGAGCAAAACGGAGCAAGAAGAGATTACACGAAGAAAAGAGAAACACATGGAGAATTTACTTCAAGAAATTTGATGATGACAAATTCCAGATCTATTTTAGATTAAACCGTGATCAGTTCAAAAAAGTGCATAATCTTATCCAAAAAGAAATTTGCAGAGAAGACTGCAACACCACAAGGCCCCATTGAAACAAGAAAGATTAGCAGAGTTTTTACAATACGTCTTTATTTATTTTATAATATTTTAGTTATCAATTTAACCCGAATGTATATGCAAATGCTTATATTTTTTACTAATGGTTGTTTGAAAATTTTCACATTTATATACGAATTAGCCCATTTGGAGCTTTCTTGCCAAATTTCATTTTACTTATTTTCGCATAACTGAAGGTCACTGCACATTTCTGCACTTTCACAGAAATTTTTGAAACAATACGGGAAACTTGGTAATTTTTTAATAGTTATCAGAAAACAATGAGCTATTTTAAAAAATTGCCTTAAATTAAGCTTCTTTAATGTGATGAACTATGGTTACCGCGGTTCTCAAAACACCTCATTATCTTCATTAAACCCCACATCGTGTTTGTGTCACAAAGAACTTTTAAAACTACCAACATTTTAAAACAATAGATAAAAACATACAAATATATTACATACAAACGAACATACACATAAGTATTACATGAAAAACATACTACATATTTCTATGAATCTGAATTTAAGAGAAGAGAATTGTAATGTGTGAAATTGAGAAACAATCGATTCGTCAAACAATATAGGGGATGCAAAAAATGTTTCCAGACGTTTTGCAGAACTACGGCAGAACGATCTTGAGCTAAGAATCTCTCCACTTGGACTGTTCGTGGACTATCCCGGTGGGTTCACCTGCAACAACTTCCCCACGGATGATGTCTACTCAGCTGCATACGAAACGTCTGGAAACATTCTTTCCAATCCTGGAAGTAGCCCTCCGGCCGTGAAACTGAGTTCAACGCATTTGCAATATGAACAATGCGCGATGGACCCACCTTCATCTTGCGCCCCCGTTCGCGCAGCGCCTGCTGCGTGCGGTGCAGAGTGACGGCCACCTCCGGCCCCGGCTGGCGCTCCAGCAGCTGGCGCAGGCCGGCGTACAGGCGCTGCGCGTCGCGCAGCTGCACCTCTCGCTCGATGGCCACCGCCGCCTGCGCCAGCAGCCGCTTCTGCAGCAGCTGCACCTGCGCACCCACACACACCATCTGCTGCGCACACTTCTTCACTAAAGCAACTCCAAATCCCGCTAGACGGCCACCGCCACCAGCGACAGCAGCCGCTTCTGCAGCAGCTGTATCTGCGCACCCACACACACCTATCCGCTGCGCAAGCCTCCACGGTCAAATATGAAGATGCTTTTGCAGCAGCTGTACATGTGCACCCACATGCTGCGCGCGTCTCAAAAGTTTCTTATAATGACGCTTTTCACCTATTAAATTAGTGTTGATTTAACTGCTTTATTGAAGTTTTGTCTTGTCAGTGGACCAGTTTTCCCATTCCCGGTACGCTAGGAGAAACTATACGCCGGTTACATCAACTGGCGAGGAGGAAAGTTGAAGGTATGACGAGGTTATATCAGTAAATCTCTCCAGATGGAATACCACCACCATGAAATTATGGGATTTTATATAGCATTTTCGTTTCCATAAATTTGAAATTTCTCACATGCTGTATAGATTCCTCTCGAAAATGAATTTTGACATTGATCAGAAGACGTATCAGTGGCGATAAGCCGACAGATAGCCACCTGAGGCCGGCGTTGGTCCTGAATGGTTCTTGCTGCAGCAAAACCGACTTTGGGGCCCGTCAGTTTAAGACGCTCCCCCAACCCCTTGGTATGTTGGATCTAGAGTACGTTGTGCTCGGTCGGTAGGTAATGTCCCCACTGAATATATTATGCCCCCTCAACGCACAGCGTAACTTCTGGAAGTGCCCAAGCGCTCTTCATTTACCCCTCGACCAACAAGTAGTAAATAGGATGGATATCTTCATTGTCAATAGGGTTGGGCAGTACTTAATACTTGTAATTAAAGGCATAAAATACGTGCATAAAAACAAGTTAATTTCTTTAAGAAGTATTTAAATATTAAATTTTAATTATTTTGGCCACCCTTGAATGTCAATAATGTCTTAAAATATCCATTCTTCTATCTGAACTTCCTCCGAAAATCAGACTTGCAATTCGTGTACCAATGCACATATTTTCTAGAACTCAGAAACGAAATATACTATTTTTCAAATATTGCTAATCTTACGATTTTTAAAATTTATTTATTTATGTTAAACTTTTACTCACCTTTCAACTATTTATAGTTAAAATGATGGGAAGGGATTCAGGAAGTCAAGAAAACGTGCGCAGATAATCCTTTCCCCCCTACGTCACATAGAGTTTTTACTGTTTTTTGACTAAATAAATTTAACCTCCCTGCGTAAATGCAAAAAGAGGAAATAAATTATAGTTCAAGAAAGAAGAGTATTAATTTTTTCATTCATTAACAACATCTAATAACTTTAAAAAATTGTTTTGAAACAAATTAATTAGATAATATTTCCATGGTTTATTGTAACAAAAAAGAAAGTATTTCAACAAATGTTAAAAAATGAAAAAAAAATCAATGTTACATAACACTAATGGGTTACGCCCTGAGGAAAGTCGCAGAATGGCGACCGAAACGTAGGCGCCTTCGCCATGGACGCGGCGTCACCCGGACAGCCAAGTTAATACTGACTCCGGCCGCGGAAGCCTATGCTAACACTAATGGAACACCCCCTACCCCTACGTAACGCAGCGGAACGCTCCTTCAAACTCTCTCGCCCCCCTTTTTTTGGGGGGGGGGACTGAATAAATCTAAATGTAAATCCAGTTAAGTGGAGTACCTACCTTCTCGATGAGGTCGAAGGTGCAGGGGTCGGTGCCCTGCAGCTTGCGCCAGCGGTGCACGTTGAGCGGGTTCTGCAGCTCCTCCTCGAGCGCGCGCGTCTTCTGGCGCTCGCGCGTCAGGTCGCGCTCCAAGTGGAACACCTCCTTGCGCAGCTTCGCCATGTTGTCGAGCGAGCGCTGCAGCAGCACCTTCTCGTTGCGCAGCCGACGCACCTGCAGAACAATCTTGGTCGTGATTTTTTTTTTACTAATGTTCATTGGATCGCGCCTTGCCCTTTTCTACCTGGGAGCCAAATCCCTAATACAGACGGTAGAGTCAATTATAGTTTTACCACTATAATTCTATTAAACTTAGAAATGAATTGAAATTGTAGTAAACGACACACTATTCCAAGCGACATGAAATGTGTAATATTACTCGAGATGTTAAGACCAATCTAATACAATTCACTCACAGAAATTTATCGAACCATTGAATAAAACAATCCGATGGAGTCATTTAGTCCCGCCTTATTGGACATATTAAAACTGACGTGATAAGTCGTTTTGAAATATCACTCCTGAAAACAAAACAAATTCAAAAGTAGCTTGCATTAGGAAGAAACAGAGTCGTAGAAGCAACAAATTAAACTTATAATCAAAATATTGAATTTGGAAATATTTGTACATCCTCATTCACAACAACGTTGAAGTAATCCTTTATATCCCTGTATATCAGGAGGTTCTAGACTCCACAGACGTACGGATTTCCGATTCCAGCGAAATATTTAACAGGCTCGATGAGAATTCTAAAAAAAGTTTGCTTCTATCAATCGTTTCCGCCAATCACTTGGAGGGCCAGTAGTTTAAACACGCAACCTTTGCTCCTCGTCCTACCCCAATATGCATCCTTAAGAGTCGGACGCTACTTATCCTCCACTCCCTACTGCTCATTCCTTATGACAGCGAAAGCTTCTGAAATAATGTGAGTACGTGGATGTCTGGCCGGCTCGACTTGGGTTCCAGCGCTAACGGAGAGATACACAGAAGAGAGAGGGAAATTCAAGTCGTGCTTTCCTAATCCGTCTACTCCATGGAATTTCTCAACACGACTCAGAGCCAGGTGAGGGAGAGGAGTGAGGGTCTAAGTCCGATGTGCTAAAGACAAGGCGTGGGACCAAAGTTTGGGGCGAGGGTTTAAGTGAGTAGTGCTCAAGGCAAAGGGCGGGGCGTGAATGTGGGGCGAGGGAATAATTGCGAAGTGATGAAGGGGAGGGGCGAGGGTCTAAGGGCAAAGTACTAATGGCAAGGGGAGGAGCGGAGGTTTAAGTGCGAAGTGCTAAAGAAACGAGGGGAGAGGGTCAAAGTGCCAAGAGCTTAAAGGCCAGGGGAGGGACGTGGAACTAAGGGTACAGTGACAATGGGAAGGGGAGGGGCGAGGGCCTCAGTGCGAAGTGCTAAAGGCAATAGAAAGGGCGTAGATCTAAGTGTACAGTTACAATGACAAGGGGAGGGTCTCTGTGCGAAATGCTAAAAGCAATAGGAGGGGCGTGGATGTAAGTGTGCAGTGCCAATGGCAAGGGGAGGGGCGAGGGTCCAAGTGCAAAGTGCTAAAGGCAATAGAAAGGGCGTAGATCTAAGTGTACAGTGACAATGACAAGGGGAGGGTCTCAGTGCGAAGCGCTAAAGGCAATAGGAGGGGCGTGGATCTAGGTGTACAGTGCCTATGGCGAGGGGAGGGGCGAGGGTCCGAGTGCGAAGTGCTAAAGTCAATAGGAGGGTCGTGGATCTAAGCGTGCCAATGGCAAGAGGAGGGACGAAAGTCTAAATGCGAAGGTCTTATGTCAAGGGTTAGGTCGAGGGGCGTGGGGCGACGGGGCGACCTCGATCTTGAGCAGGCGAATGTCCTCCAGGCGCTGCGTGTACTGCGTCTCGCCCTTCTGCAGCGCCGCCTCCAGCAGTGCGGCATCTTCTCGGTAGAGCAGCGGGCAGCTCGTGCGTTGCGCCGCCACCAGCTGCGAGCCCAGGAGTGTCGCGCTTCGTTGCGTATCTGCTCCATCTCCATCACCATGTGCCGACCTCCAGCTCCGCCTCCTGCAGCACCACACAGCGCAACAAAGACACTGTAGTTGGTCTAACGATCGGGCTCCTGCATCACCAACACACCCAGACACGTTAGGTTGGTCTACGATGCGGGCGCTCCATGCACACCCACGAACCCCAAAAGAAGACAACGTTAGTTGGTGTACGATCGGCCGGTGCCTGCTCACCTACACCCAAGAGAAGACACGTTAGTTTGCCGTCGTACGCATCGGGCCTCCTGCAATCACCACACGCACAACAAGACACTTAGTTGATCTACCGATCGGGCCTCCTGCATCACCACACCCCAAAAGGAGAACACGTAGTTGTGTAACGATCGCGGCCTCCTGCATCACCACACCCCAAAGAGACACGTTAGTTGGTGTACGATCGGCCTCCTGCATCACCAGCGCCAAACAAGACACGTTAGTTGGTCTACGATCGGGCCTCTAGCACGCACCGACACACCCCAAAGAGAACAGTTAGTTGGTGTACGATCGGCCATCTGCATCACCACATCCCACAAGAGACACGTTTAGTTGGTGTAGCGATCGGAGGCCTCCTGCACCACCACACCCCAAAGAGACACGTTGTTGATCTACGGATCAGCGCTCCTGCATCACCACACCCCAAAAAGACACGTTAGTTGGTGTAACCGATCGGCCTCTCTGCATCACCACATCCAAAGAGACACGTTAGTTGGTGTACGATCGGGCCTCCTGCATCACCACACGCCAACAGGACACGTTAGTTGATCTACGATCGGGTCTCCTGCCATCACCACGCACCAACAAGACAAGTTGGTTGGTCTACGATCGGGCCTCCTGCATCACCACACGCCAACAACTCACGTTAGTTGATCTACCCGTCTTATGTACCATCGGGTCTGTCTTAACGGTTTGCCGCGATCCCTATTCTGGCTGCCGTCTTGAGTCCTCCAGGAGCACCTTCTGGTCCTCCAGGAGCACCGAGCTCGACTCGGTGAAGTCTAGCTCAGGACGCGGCGTCTCCCTCCAATCTCTGACGTAGTCCTTCGGCCCATCACGGCAATGAAGATTCCACAATGCCCCGCGTAACGTTCTACATGCGTTTATTGTTACATTGACTACTACACTACGTATGTTAGAATATCTCATTTTTTATGTCTAACGCATGTTTAATTGTATTCATACATGCAATCCCATGTAGCCCCGAAGGAGAACTACATAATAAAATATAGAAACTGGCTCCTAAGAAACTAGTGTTTGTGTTATAACCTAATCTCAAGAATTCCACTAAATATTATTTGAATCGGGATAAAGAAAAATATCACTATGCTCGAATACTGCTTTTACAGAAGAACACAAAGTAATGGTAATATTCTCATATAAATGTACACGGGTGTCATGAAGCTCCTTAACAATGAATTCGTTAATCAAACAACACAGCGCAACCTTTCCGAAATAAAAGTATCCTGATTAAATAAAATAAAAAAGAATCGTTGATACAAACGTTCCATGTTCATAAGTTGGTATGAGATTTCTTTACGGTAGACTGAACAGTAAAGTCCCACTTTGGGGCCTGCTTTGAGGCATGTAAACAACCGAAATGCGACATGGTATGACATAAAAAATTATTTCATTGTCTTCAATACATCCATGTTTTGAAAAGATCGTCCTCTATGTGACATTCCTAAGGGAAACAAAGCATCGAATTGTTGAAAATAAAACATCGATGTTAAGTAATGTCAGCTCAAATATATCGATATCAATGTTTTGAAAACTTTGTGATATCCCTAAAAGAGAAACAAAGTATCGAATTTTTTAAAACAAAACATCGATGTTAAAAAATATCAGCTTTAATACATCGATATCAACGTTTTGAAAACATTGTGATATTCCTAAGAGAAACAAAGCATCGAATTTTAGAAAACAAAACATCGATGTTAAACGTGTCGGCTTTAATATATCAATATCAATGTTTTGAAAACATCGTCTCTGATATGATATCCCTAAAAGAAACAAAGCATCGAATGTTTGAAAACAAAACATCGATGATAAAAAATGTCAGCTTTAATACATCGATATCAATGTCGATATAATACATCGACATAACTTTAATATATCGATATCAATGTTTTGGAAACATCGACATTGATGCGATATCCCTAAAAGAAACAAAGCATCGAATTTTTGAAAATAAAACATCGATGTTAAAAATGTCGGCTTTAATATATCGATATCAATGTTTTGAAAACATTGTCACTGATGTGACATCCCTAAGGGAAACAAAGCATCGGTGTTAAAAAAGTCAGCTTTAATATATCGCTATCAATGTCGATATAAATATATCGACATAGCACTAATATATCGCTACCGATGCCGACCTGGATGACGGAGAGCAGGCGGCGCTCCTCGGCGGCGGCGGCGGCGATCTCGGCGCGCGCCTGCGACAGGTGGTCGCGCGTCTTCTGCAGCTCCACGCGCAGCCCCTCCTTCTCCTTCTCCGTCTTGTCCACCGTCTTCATGGCGCGCCGCAGGTCCACCTCCTTCATCGAGATGTCCTCCTTCATCTGCTCCACGTGGTGGCCCTGCACCTTCAGCTTCTGCTTCAGCTCAGAGATCTGCGAACGCACGCACGCACGCGTCGGCCAGGTTACAGAGGAGCCGGAAACAGTGGAACATAAGGGGAGGGGCGCTGGGTCACACGTTAAGTACAGTCCTCATAAAAAGGTTCAATTATTTTGAAAAATGTGTAGTGTTGATACAGCCTAATAAAATGTAATAGACAAACATTTTAAATAAAGCGAAATAGTCTAGAATACCAGATCCTTTTTGAGAGCAATTGGCAATTTGAAATTGGCAATTGGCAAATTGACCGCAGCAGGTTCTTACGTGAACTGGGTCCTGAAAATCCACCTGTTCAACCCCTCAAAATGTATTCACCTTTCGAAAGTAGTGAAATCGGATTTAAAATCCTACAGATGTCTAAAGCTCGCTTTACACTTGTAAGAAAATGGCGTGAAATATTATTTCGCAAGAAAGTTTCGCAAGATCGCACACACAATAAACTCAATGCGGTCACGTACCCTCAAAAGAGATTCTTCCTCCTCGTGGGTATTTACTCCTAACAGCCTGAGATCAAACATCATAATGCGATTAATAGATTTCATGACTTTGTTTCCCCCTCTCCGATACAATAAACAGTTGAAGGCAAATGCTCGCAGGCAAGTCCAAACACTTCACTGGCACGAAATACAATCTACTTTCTGATAAGGCCGGGAACTTTTGCCCGTGATTTTCTTCAAAAAATCTAAAAAAATGACGAAAGCAGGTGAAGATCCGTCACAGGAGAAACTTCTAACTCCTGAGAAAGTTAGAACGTGAATTACTGAGAAACTTGAGAAGACATGACTGATTCTCCAGTGACTGGCATTGCTTCATAAAGTCTAGTAGACGATTTCGTAACTGAAACCCCCACTCTACCCGCATTTCTTCAATATTTAATAAAAGGTGCGCGAGTAATACCTGTAGCACCCACAGAGAAAAATCCTGGGTGCACCTCTGTCGTTTCATCAATTTTTTTGCAATCATTGATAGGGGGTGCAACGCACAAAAGGGATCTCTTTTCGCACCCACCTCGTCCTGGGCCTCGAGCAGGTGCTTGGCGAAGGTGTTGCGGTCGGCGCGCACGGCCTCGTACAGGTTCTGCTGCTGGCGGTAGCGCGCCTCCCAGTCGGCGATGCGCCGGTTGCCCTCGTACACCGCCATCTGCTTCAGCCGCACCTCCTCCAGCGTCTCCTCCACCTTCACCTCCAGGTCCGTCGTCTGCATGATGAGCCTGCGCCCCGCCGCCACGCACGCTGCTTGCTCCCGCGACATTCACCGGTTGCGCGCCACAGCGGCGCCCAGTGCTTCCACGAACCTTTTGACTCGTTATAGGTTAGCGTGGGGGTAATTTTGATGTTAAAATATTGTACTTGTTCTTTGCAATTTCATAACATTCAAAAATTATTTTAAATACTTTATGGTCACCCAGCTCTTCCATTTTGAGCACATGCAGGTATGTAAAAAAACGAACCTCTTTAAATATTTTTTTTATTGCAAAATTTGGTTTAATTGTAGTGAATATGATGAGCCAAGTCGAAACGAAACATGTCAATGCCAAAAAGGATGTATTAAATGTATTAATTCACAGCGTTCCACCAGTTTCCTCGTACATTGAACCATAAAAAATCGTGTTTTCTGGATATGTTACAGAATGCCCTGGAGGCTAAACGTTGGGTTAATTGATTTGTGTTGACGAGAGGAATCCAATGAGCTATTGATCATCTCTTTAGGTGCCGTAACTCACCCAAAATGCGTTTTAACTGCTTAAAAATACATTTAGAAATATTTCTTAAAACCTTCCTGACGGATCCGCAAATAGAACGTTACCCGCCAGGAAACCGTGACTCGTCGAATGACGTCACATTTGTCTCGATTGGTGAGCCGTAAGTGCTCTAACCTCGAGTGACAGATAGACGGACGGACTAGTTACTCGATTTCTAAATAAAAATGTCGAAGGCAATTCGACCCGTCACAAGTCGTGAATACGCCTTCCGATGGGACAGAATTCGCTGGATCAAATGTAGCATTAAGAATTTTTGGAGTACCGTAGCCCCATGTTGCTAATATGCGTTGTAATTCAATGGAAATAAAATAAATTAGCATGATTTATGCAATTCTATGACGAGTTAAAGCGCCGCTAAAATTTTACGTATTGTTTGCATTTTATAACTACCTGGATTTATAAAGTAGAAAAACGTTTTCAAATAACTAAAGACTGGTATCCATGGGGCTAGCAGTTTGCGCTTGTCTTATCAGGGGATGGATTTTGATGACCTAAAATATCGACAAAAATTATCAATAAAATGCTCTTAAAATATGTTTAATATGCCCTAAAAGTAGAGAAAAATGACGTGAAAAATGTGATCAAAACCAATTCAAATGAACAACTCAAGTTGTTGGATATGTTACTGATGTAATCGAGGCTTCTTCCTTTCGTTCAAGTGAACTTAGCTTGTACGCGTTTTGTCTAGACAGTCTTCTTTCCCAGTAAATCTCTGTCTTTAGTTATCCAGAAATCGGCAGAACCGTCAATAGCGCTGTTAGGCGTCACAGAAACTTAAGAATACATACTCACAACGGCTGACATTGTAATTTCTGAGCGAAGAAATCGAATAGGCTACTCAAGAATTCTGTGGAGAACTTTCGTTTCTTCTTGTAAATATTATTTGAAACTAGTACTTTTAAAATTATATTAAAATCGCTGAAATCAGCGAAAATGTTTTTAAAATGCCAAAACAGCAACAAAATGAGTTATTTGTCGAAATCGATGAAAAATGCCAAAAAAAAGTCAAATAAAAATTGGTCATTTATTTTTGTTATATCTTAAAATTACTGTCTAGAAAAAATGACATTTTAAAAAATTCCTCCATTACGTATAACTAATGAAATTTTCTGAGATACTTGATGCACCCAGGGACGTCACTCAAAGGCTACAGCACTTGCTTTAAGGAAAACTGACTGTAACAACAGTCACTTATCTCGCAACCCAATCGGAGTAGATATCGGGAGGCCAACCACAAACGCCACTAGTGCAGCAGCTCTGAATTTGTCACCGTTTGTCATTGTCTCCCCTTAAGACACACAACTGCTACTTACTTTGTACCTCGACGCTCACCAACTGTAATATTACCAAGACTGAGTTTTCCTTATGACTGAAAAATGTTCCGCAACTCTGTCATCGGTCTTTCTACACGTTTATTTAAAGACGCACAAAGCCGTCTTAGCTATGAAATGAAATCATCAAAACCAAACAATACAAAATTTTCCTGGCGCGCATTACTTTGCACGTTCTTCCATTTCGTTAAATAAATGAACTCTGAGAAATAAACACAAGCCTGACGCGCGGTTTTGAGAAACAGCTCGTTGAAGTTTTGGTGAACACATGCAAATCAGTGGACGGCCGAAACTCACTTTGGGGTTATCCTGCCATATGGCTGGAAATGGAAACGTAGTATTTAAAGGCAATAAGGTTGCTTAGAAAGAATCGCGATATGGTTAACATGAAAATTTTATAATTGTGGCTCATGATCAGTTGGGACTCTTGCTCAGGTTGCATGCTTGCAGAACCCCCAGATAATCGAAAAAATCTTATAAAATCTAAGGAACATATATTTTCCTTTTGATGACATTTAATTTCAAGATATTCTAGCAATATCAAGGCATATGAAATCATTTTGAAACCAAAGAGCTTCCAACTGGCGCTCTCTCCGGCGTCCAGATATTGCGGCACACTTGTGTCTCTATGACTAGGTTTACTGCATTTATTCACTTCCAGATATTGCGGCACACTCGTCTCTATTACTAGGTTTACTGAATTTATGATTTGACCCTTCGCTTTAAGACGGCAAACATGAAGCCTTTGGTGGCGCAACCAAATGGAAGGGTGCCGAGCTCTGCGCAACGACCGAGGGAATCTGAGGGTAATACCGATATTCTGTCTTCATCTGACTAGATGCAGCTTCATTATAAGAATTTCGCGTGTTATTGAAAGTACTCAAGTTCAATCAATTATTGACAGCATTTACTGCATTGTTTATGATGTTTAGAGCTTTTTATTCATTTGATATTAGATTTATCGTTTCAAAATGTACACTTGATGAATTCTTTGTGTAAAATAGGCCTTTCTGTAAGGAATTATCTTTCTGTCTTTCACAACAGATGTATATTCCTGCAAAAACCTGCCCTTACAGTCAGAGAGCGCTGGTGGGAATACGAACGTGTACGGATTTTATTACAAAACATACCAAGGTAGTGAAATTTTCGAAAAAAAATAATTTTCTTAATGTGAAACGTGTCTAAGCAATAGTGCTTGTTTCAATGCGCTGGAGGGGACCTTAGTAAGTGCCCAGTGAAAATCAAACTAAAACCACGTGCGCGGAAGGTGTATAGACCTGACACTGACACTAAGCATAAAATGTTCTAAGAACTGTTCCAATATAGACTTCTATCTAACTTAGTTTTAATTAATTTACTTGAATTGCTTAAATTTAATTAGGTATTCGTATTTTGAATTTTGGAAATTACATTTCCGTCATTCGTTGGAGATGCAACTTTCGGTCTGTTGGGGCACCAGCCTCCACTGCTTATGATTATCGCTCCCAGGCCCATTCAATGTGATTCGAGTGGAGACAGAGAAGAGCATGAGACGTCGCTATAATTCGGTTGGCTCACAAAGCTACAGTGAGAGCGCTTCGGGTGGCTGCGGGTGAAGAAACGGCTCAAAGCACTTGCTGCTATCAATGCCGTCTCTTAGGGAACAGAGTGCATCTGCTATCAGCCGCATTCGTGTTCGGGACAACAAGGTCGATTACGAGAGAATATTTTCACAATTCCCTATCGCGCAGGGTCCGAAACGTTCTGTCGAACACGGTAGAAGTTCCATGTCAACCGAACAGTATTAGTTAAACTTGAATTTATTCGTTCGTAGCGAGCCATTGAACAAGGATGTAGACAAACGTATTTCGATAAACTATGAAGCCCTGTGAACTGCCTCGCATTGCATTCTTCGAAATTACATCTCAATATTTTAAAAGAAACGGATTAAGTAGGTAGCTGACAGCTCCTCCAAAACTTGAATCTAGCCTCACTATGTGATAGAAATGTGATTTCTTCTACAAACAGCTATCATCTCATATTAAAAACAACTTTAAGTCAGCAGTTTAAATTTGTAGGTATCCATCACATGTAGCATATAGAGACGAATGTCGTATGCCGCGTATGGTGCGTTCGTGGCCACTACTCTCCTAGTAGAAGAATAAGTTCACCGTTAGGCCTTGAAGTTTCGTTCGGTCAAACCCAGACATCCACTCTGGCAGACCTGTAAGATGTGACATCTTCACAACAAGTGCCCAGTTCCAGGCGCCTTCTGGGCACTTGGGCGTGCGTCGCCGGTTACCTACTCAGAGCGGGTTCGAAGATAAATGAACTAAGGAGGTAAATATCACTTTGATTTATAGGCCAGAGTTTACTGAATACATTGCATTTTAGTTTAAAAAGCTACAAACCTAGTGCCTAGGTATAAGAAAACAGAAAATGTCTGCAGTCAATCAGGATAGCCGAGATCGCTAAGGCAATAGTATCAAGTCGATCTCGGATCGAACAATGGCCCGCCTCGGGCATCGATGCTCAAGTACTTGCGATCGTTCCTTTTTGCATTGACTTGAATTGAATTTGCCTTATTTCACGTGGCGAGACTCGGGCCAACAGGCCCTCTCTTCCGTCTGACCACGCAAATTTCGCTACGCTCCTTTCACCAAATAGCGGAGGAAGGAGGTATTTCTTGGGCGAGAAACAGGCGATTTGAATTTAGCTCAGAGGCGTCATTTAGGCTTGAGGATCTTTTACATGCAAGTAAATCTACTAACATGGGACAGCCGGCTTTACTTCCGCTCCGAAGGAAGGCGTACGAAGGATTTTTCGCCCTTAAAAATCCACGGGTTTGAACCCGCGTACTTGGGTACAACAGTCCGGTACGCTAACCGTTACACCATCGCCGTCCCTTCACTCCTCAACATCATCGTATCACTTCATTAAAGAAGGATTAATAATTCCCTGCGCGAGCAGGAAGCCCTTGCCCTTAATGGAATGTGCAGTTGGCTATCAACAAAAAATGTCTGCAAAGGCCAAAAATGGGGCTTGACTAAAAAGAAAAAAGGCCGCCATTTGTGAAGCACGTACAATAATTTTAACTGTTTTGAGCAAACAAATCACGATGGATCTTGTTTACAAATTATCATTTTTCTCCGAGATGGTTGAGCGACCTGTAGTATCACTGCTGGCCCACTTCAAATGGATTGCTGGCCGTGTAAAAAAAGAACGTTGCCCTTCGGGCGGCGAGGGTTGCAAAGGCGCACTGGTCACATGTCAAGTGAGAGCGTAGGCTTCCGCGGACGGCATTACGCCCTGAGGAAGGTCGCAAAATGGCGATCGCAACGTCGGCACCTTCGCCGTGGACGCGGCGTCACCCGGACAGCCAAGTATGCGCGCGGCGATGGTGTAAGGGTTAGCGTACCGGACTGTTGTACCCAAGTTGGCGGGTTCAAACCCGTGGATTTTTAAGGGTGAAAAAATCCTTCGTACACCTTCCTTCGGAGGGGAAGTAAAGCCGGCTGTCCCATGTTGATAGATTTACTTGCATGTAAAAGATCCTCACGCCTAAATGACGCTGATGGCCCGAATCTCGCCACGCAAAATAAGGCATTAATTCAATTCAAAAGTAAATAAAGGTCACCTGTCGCGCTCCAGCTCCAGGTTGCTGATCTGCTTGCGCTGGCGGCGCGCCGACACCACGTGCATGTCCAGCTCGTCCGCCAGGGCGCGCCGCGCCTGCTCCTGCAGCCGCAGCGACTGCGTCTGCTCCGCGCTCACCTCTGCGCACGCACACCCGCCGCCACGCGCGCGTCACCCGGCGGACCCCTCCCTGCACCTCCAGGCGCACGCGCGCGGTAAGAGACTGCTTAGAACGACAGGGGTTTACCGGCAAAGGTGATTTACATTTAAATTTAATCAGTCGCAAAAAAAAAAAAGAAAAGAAACAGTAAAAACTGTACGTGACGTAGGGAGGGAAATATTATCTGCGCACGTTTTCTTGACTTCCAGAATCCCTTCCCGTCATGTTAGCTATAAGTAGTTGAAAGATGAGTAAAAGTTTAAC